ACTAGGAAGTATAAATTTAAAATAGCGGATTTTGCTTCACTGGAATTTTTTATAGACAGCTCGTTACTCAGCGTACTTTTATCACAATATTTTGATGTGCTAACTGTCACAGCAATTGTAGGTAAGCCTGTTTTTTTTAATATGACAACATAGCTCTTGTGCTTTTTATTTTTTAATGTGTTAATGTACTATTTTATTTTTATCTTTATATTAAATTAGCTCATCGCTATGTGTCGTTTTACTTGGTTTTCTGACTTTCTACTTACTGAGTTAGACAATCTGCTATAGCCTGCTGTCATTAGATGTAACTCCAGAATATGATGCGGTAATACTCTATTTTAATTTTATACAGACAAATATTTCGTTATATTTTTTAACAAAATTATCATTATTATCCTGGAGTTTTTTCTTCACCATGCATTTCTTGAAAACATCACATTGACATCATTTCCTTTAATTCGTCATTCTATATATTGAGTATTTTTAAATTACATAGTTTATTTTATAGGTGATTATTGATTTGTTCCATATTTCATGCTGGCCTTATTTGCTAGTTGGAAACTACTTAAAGATGCTGCATCATTTATGAATTTCTTTTAATTATTGCCTAAATCGGCTAATCACTTGTTTGAGTCTTTCTAAGATGCTTTTGTAAACTTTTGTGGCTGCTTATGCGTTTTATAGTTTTCACATATGTTCCAAATCTCAATTTTAGTCAGACCTGCGCTTACCAAGTAGGCGGCCAGGGTACTATGCCAAATGGTGCTGCCGGGGATGATATTCATCAAAGATTTGGCCCACCTTCCGTCCACACGATGACATCAAATTCTCCTATAGCAGGGTTTCCCAACTCTGGGCCTGGTATTGTACCCCATCCATCTGGCGGAATTTATCAAGGAGGTTCTAATGTTGCCGGGGGGTACTATGGTAATAATAGTCCGGGTCCTTCCTGCGTAATTGGACCTCCTGTGTATGGTATTGCTCAGCCGCCTATTCACCATCACCACCATCACTCTCATCAAGTACATCAACAACAGTCTCAACAGATGCACCCCCAGCAACAATCTCCTCAACAGCAACAATCGTATTCGACTAGTATCAATGAACTCCCCCTTTCTGGCTCAAACACTTACGGTGCACAAGGGGCCTACCATTTGCCTATGGCAGACAAGCTGCCTGTTGGTGTAGGACCTGGAGTATACTCTTCACTCAGCTCTAGACAACCAGGTCAAATTGCGCCTTCTCTTCTTACAACAACATCCATGGGACCAAATTCAGAACACAATCAGCCTCCTACCTTCTCTTCTTCAGATCCTATTGCTGGCACAATTCCACTTGGGGGTAAGCCTTGTGCTACAGCAAGATATCCTTCTCAAATGCAATTGAGCTCAGATGGTCGAGTTACTAACTGCAATAGTCAATATCATCCAACAGGACAGCGACCTATCCCACCAAATAGTAATTTAGGTAAGAATTTGGAAGCCTATACTTACTTTTTTTCCTTGTTTTACAAAGCAAGTTTTAAAGCCTTTTGCTTTATGTATAATGTATTTTATTCAGCTTTGATTAGTTCATGATTCTCCATGATAATTAAAATCTAACTGAAACCAACAACCTATCTCTATGGGACTGCTTCGTACTGCTTGGTATAGGGATTTTGTTTTAAATTTTATTAGTTCCTTAAACTTATTTGATACATATGTATTTGTAGTAGAAACAACTAAGAATTTTTATTTTGCATACTTTTTTATTTGTGTGCGTATATTTAATTATATTTTGTATCTCATTTTCGCAAAATGCTTCAAAGCTTTGTACTACTCGTTAAAACGTCTAAAGGATATATTCTCAATCGCTTCGGTCGTTACTTATTAGTTTTAATGGTATTTAATTTGTTTAGCTCTTTATCAACACTTATTTACTCCTAAATATTCCTATACAACCTAGGCTACAGTCCAATTTGCCATACTTCATTCTCTTTAACTTCTAATAAAGTTAAGTTGACGTCTGAAACTTAGCAAAACTGCTTAACTATGAAGGTTAATTAAGTTTCGAAGAATGATTTAATAAATTAATGCTGATGTGCCTTTAACTTTGTTTAAAACGGCGAGTGGGGGGAATTCGTGTACTGGCCCCAGGAATAAAGGTTGCTTTAGAGCTGATATTGTAGACAGCCAGGCCATATTAGATAGACAGGATTGCAGCCAGCCACTTCTTGTCTTAGTGCTTAGTAAAATTTTGTAAAGCATATTTTTATACTTAGAATCTTGATCGCGAGCATTTATTTGCACAAATCTACAGCTATTTTATCTTTATTACATCCCATCAGAAACGTAAGAATTGAGCTGCTTCATATTTTTAATATGCGTTTTTATAGGGGCATTTACTTTACTATCCCCTTTTAAATATACCTTATGCCCTTATTAAACCTTGTTATTCTTATTATTGGGACGGATTTTAACCCAAATTGCCTAAGACATGTAGACCAAGGTGGTACCTAATTTTTACTTCCCATATTCTTAAATCGGTTATTTAAAAAATATTACAGTGTATCACATTATTGTTGGTAAAATTATTCTCCATCCGCCAACTTATCACATTTTTCTCAGCTTACTAATTCATGCTTACTCATCAGGTGTATTATAATCGAGTTGTTAATCCTCCTTGTAAATAAATTTAAATAGCATTACTTAAAGCTTTTGCCAGCTTGTTTTCTTGCAATAATCTCTAGGGTTTTCCCTTTCTTTCATATTTTTGGCTCAGTTATTCTATGAAGCCTTTTTTGATAAATGACTATAGAAGATAGTTGTTGAGCTTACTTCCATTTCGAATGGAAGTGTTGAGTGAAGAGATTCGAAGGTCGGTTCCACCAGAAGACGACGACGGATTCCTCTTGATCAGCTGTCGATTCGCTTTACTGCTGACGCTGTTTCCGAGGAAATCTCCTTCGATTTCGGTGAAAACGTGCTGCGCTTTCGTCCGTCATATGATGGACATCATCAGAGCGAGGTAACATCGTCAAAACAAAATTCAAGCTAACGAGTCCACCAGAAGACCACGTCGGATTCCTCTTGACCAGCTGTAGATTGGCTTTATTGGAGTTTTCTTGACTCGTTAGCTTGAATTTTGTTGTGACGATGTTGGCTTGCTTGATGATGTCCGTCATATGACGGACGAAAGTTTAGCACGTTTTCACCGGAATCGAAGGAGATTGCCTCGGAAACAGCGCCAGCATGAATCTTCTAGTAAAGCTAATCGACAGCTGGTCAAGAGGAATCCGCCGTCGTCTTCTGGTGGAATCGACCTTCGAATCCCTTCACCCGACAATTCCACTCTGAATGGAAGTAAACTCAACAATTATGAGACAAGAGATTCCTCGAAACCCAACTTTTCTTCGTATATAGAAGATAGCACATTATTAGGGCTCAATTTATTTATCAAATACATTTTTAAATGTCACGAAGCTCTTTTGGATTCTCGAGCTATTATAAAAAGTGGGCCTTTTAGCTCCATAGAAGAATACTGTAAAACATTATCTTCATCCTTAATTGTCAATAGCTATGCAAATTTCTCTATATAACTCG